AGAGTTGGTACCAGTCTCCCCGAGTTTTGGCTACCATAGACTTAACACAACCTTTCTCCATCTAACGCAGCTATCTGCACCTGCCATCTAGATACATTATATATAACCGTGGCCATACTCTGGATGGGAAAGATCGCCTGTAGAACATTACAAGACAAAGATCAAAGCTGGGATTATTAAAGGCAACTTTGCCGCTGAAAAGGATGAGGAATGTTTACTGTATTTTTTGGAGTATAAGACGCACCAAGGTTTTGAAGAGACAAATTAAAAAAAGTAGTTTTTTGCACTCTCTAGACCTCCCAAAAACGGCCAGTTTTTCGCCAAAACGAGCTCATTTTTGTCCCAAAAAAAAGGGCATGCATAGCCTTTAGGAGGCTTATAGAGTGCTCCTGGGGGCTAGGGGGGCAGAACTGCGCAAAAATACAGCCCATTTTTCACTCATTTCTGCCCTCCCTGGTCCCCTGGAGCACTCTGCAAGGCTCCTAAAGGCTGTGCATGGCCATTTTGGTGAAGGGGGCAGGGTTTCGGGAGGCAAAAAAAAATGCCATATTCAGTGTATAAGACGCACCCAGATTTTCAGCCTCTTTTTTGAGGGAAAATGGTGCGTCTTATACTTTGAAAAATACGGTACTTTAAATCTATTTCTCTGCTACAATTGTGTGTGTTTTCCCCCCTTGCTGTTAATATCCTGATCTGATTACAATTAAATATGTGGAAAATCTAAATACGCACTGCAAGCAGTTTTCGTACAGGATCAGAGTCATGCATGTTTCATCCTGCACACAAAATACCAGCGCTGAAATGAACTGGGACCTCGGCACACACAGAAGCACAAGAAACAATGGCCTTTTCAGCCCACTGCTAAGCAAACTTTAATTAATCAAAATTACGTTTCATATATAAAAAGTATCAGGTTACAGTATTTGTCAAATTACTCTAGGGAAAAGACTTGAACAGTGTTACTGTCGTTTGCTGTATTTAAAACAAATCATCAGGAAATAAGAGCCACATATGTGTCCAAGCATTTTAACACCTGTTCATGAAATATAAAAAAATAGAACCACAATTTTAAAGACAAAGCAAAACAGCCAATGATTTTTCACCCTGAAATGTACACTATGAAAATTATACTTAAACCCTTTGTGGGAAAGATGATATTCTTAATTCCATTTAGATTTCATATTGTATTGAACTGCTTACAAGTGGTACTTAGTATGAGTAATATATGGGAGAAAGTCTTAAAGGGTCTTGGCAATCCAAGAAATCTGTTCGCTTCCCCTCTTGCAGTTTATTCAACACTGATGAATTTTATATCCAATGCGCTTTGGATGGGTAGCCTTTTATCCCGTTAGCACAGCATTTAAGCAGATATGCTACTAGTTAGTAAATGAAAGCCACAACCTCCACCTATGATTGATGCACAAGCCCCATGCCTTATTAACCAACAGTTTGAAATATAACCAATTAGGATCCTATCTACATTACAACTCATGACACCGTACTGTTCATGGTCACTTCTTTAGACAAGCACAGAGTTTATCAAATTGTTGCCTGAAACCTTTTATTTACAATTCAATATGCAGACCATGCAAGATTGGCTCCAGCAAACTGTGATGGAAGACTTGTCAATCCCTATCTACAATACACAGTTTTTGAGAAAATGTAAGGCATGATGCTTTATGTATCAGGGCGAAAGAAATTATGGTAAATAACACAATTTAGAATTACTTGAATCTGTCTGCAAAAATCTAAACAGCAAAGAAACAGTTTGCTTTAACAACTTGCTTCCAGCTAATTATTTTTGGATTTTTGCAGCCCTAATGAAACTGCCTTCCCAAACTCTCTTCCTTTTATATATCCCTTACCAAGATCTCAGGAACAATAAGCTTTAGGATCAAACCATTTTCTAATTTTTCCTAAGTCTCAATCTTCTCAAGACCCTTTTAGTCACACTTTCATTGTAAGTACTATTTTAAACACAACAAAACATAGTCCTAAGCATGACTGAAGTACACTTCACATGTATTGATTTAAACCATTTCAATTACTATCAAAATTTTGAACCTATGGAGTTATCATTGCTTCTTTCAAAAAAAAAAAGTTAGCAAGAATTTAAGTTGCTTTGCAATTAGATAATCACTGCTGCTATTTACAATAGCTTTAAAAGCTAGTGCTTGATTCATCACTGAATCTACTATACATGACAACTGCAAATGTAGATACAATGAATGCCTCCCCAAAGACTTTCTTTCCAACAAAGGGGAAACAAAAATTGGACTCAGCTAGCATTAACAATAGTTAGGGATAATGTGACAGCGGCAGTTCCAACATTAACGTAAACTCAAGAGTTGCATGGGGAAAGTACCTATGCAAACTGCCACCAGAAAATCTCATGCAGTGAGATTCAGAACTATAATGGCAAGTACTGCTTTTGGTTGGTTATAGCCTTTGTATGAAGCCGCTGCTACCCAATGGGTTGAATGAGACCTCTACCTGCTCTGCGGGATACTAATTAAGATCCAGTAGCATTCATCATGAAACAGGACTAAGAAAGCTTTGATTTATGACGAACTGTTCTCCTGCAAACTTTGAACTTCAGTCAAAAGTCACAATTTTTGTTCCCTTTTTTTGAAAGATGCCAACCATTAATAAAAGTGAATTCTCAAATCAGACAATCTAAGCATATGCGCTGAAGATTATTCTGGAATTGCTTCAGAAGTTCATTCTTGCATTTCAAGTTCTTGTTTTAGACTGTAAGGGGTGAAAAAAAAATACAAAGTCAAACTAAGGTAATCAACAAGTAACTTAATATTGTTCTAAACATGAAATGCCTCTTTGAACCTGGATCTTCATGAATGCATATGTGCATTCTTGCCAGTAATTTGTATCTATGTCCCAATTCATGAAGAAAAGTGAAATTTACCTTTTCAAGTAAGCATGGACATTATCGTATCCATGATACTTGGCTAAGTAAACCAAAACACCAGTAGCACATCTTCCTTCCCGCTGCCGACAGAAGCTACAATTGCAGATCCCACGGCAAGGTGGGCAGTACCAGTCCTAAAAGGAAAAAAGGAGAGTAAGAATGAACTATAGGTAGATTCAATTTAATTCTTGTTTCTATTAGACTATGATCCCGCTAGAATACCATGACAGTATCACAATTCAGCTAGAACAGGAGTTTCAAACTCACGGCCCCTTGGCAGGATGTGTCATGTGCTAGCCACACCTACCCTATTTAGCAAAGGGGAGGGGGAAATCTCGATATCTCATGAGACGACCCTGAGCTAGAACATCATAAACATATTACACATTTTAAATAGGAAATTGAAAAAATATAAGTTGACTTCATTTGCCAAATGCCCCACGCAGTGGTTATGACAGTGCTGAAAAAGATTTTCAGGAACAAGATTTGCATTTATTATCTCTCTCATGTTTGCCATAATAATCAGTTGTATATGTTGCCCTATACCAGGGATGTCAAACTCACATTCATCATGGCGGCATCACATGACGTATTGGGACTTTGACAGCCCTGCCCCATATCATTCCCCACCCCCTTCATAAACCAGGGAGATTAGAAAAAGAATACAAGAGTAAGCAGGCACACAAGGAAGAATACCCACTGAAAAGAATCAGCTAGTGCTACTGCCTAGTGTCCTCATTTACTCTCTTTCCATTCCTCTCCAATGAATACAAAAATTAATTCCATTCTTGCTGAATTATCCCAATACTAGGATGAATGTCCCAAAGGATAGGAGAATGGGGGAAAAGAAAAACTGAACGGTCATTTCATTTTCCATTTAGCCTGCATCACTTAGTGACAGAATTGTGAGTCCCAATTTTGGTCACTAAATGAGGACCACCTGTATTTTTACTTTTTTATGAACTTTAGCATGCATTCAAGCAAACATGAAAATAAAATAATTACTGGATCCAACAAGGCAGCCCTGACTTCTTCTCCATAACGATTACGAAGACAAGGCCCACAGAATTGGCCACGTACTCCAAGACACTCTGGGTTCCGGCAATTTGTCTTAGTATCTGTCGTTTTCTGACGACACTGGTGACAGGTAGAACCCTATTAAAGAGAGCAGCAAAGGATACCAGGTTGATTGTTGTTTTGAAAAAACATTGCACGCTTGTGCCCATCTTAGTGTGTTTGTCATATGGACCGAGTGGTTTATTTATACATGGTCTAAGTTATAGTGCAAATGTTCACACATTTTTTAACATTTTAAATTTAATTTACCCTTTTATTTTTATAAATAACTCAAGGCGGCGAACAATACCCTTAATACTCTTTCCTCTTGTTTTTCCTACAACAATCCTGTGAAATGAGTTGGGCTGAGGGAAAAAGACAAACCCAAAGTCACCAGCTGGCTTTCATGCCAAAGGTGGGATCAGAACTCAGACTATTGATTTCTAGCCTGGTGCCTTAACCATTAGACCAAACTGGCTCTCTATACCAGTGATGGGATTCAAACTTTTTTACTACTGGTTCTGTGAGTGTGGCAGGGGAAGGATACTGTAAAATCTCCATTCTCACCCCACTCCAGGGGAAGGTTACTGCAAAATCCCCATTTCCTCCTGATCAGCTGGGACTCAGGCGGCAGAGAATAGATGGTGGTGGGGCCAGTCAAAGGTAGTATTTACCGATTCTCAAAACTACTCAAAATTTCCAGTACCAGTTCTCCAGAAATGGTCAAAACTTGCTGAATACCATCTCTGCTCTATATATATTGCACTAAGCCAAAGCAACCGCCTTATGGCTTAAAATTATGGACACTAAATATCTAATTGGGGGGGGGGGGAATCCAGAATTTATGCATTTGAAGTTTATCTAAGTACCAATTGCTTCAGCCCTTTATTTTGTAAATTAATCAAATTTAAATAGCAGCAAGCCAAAAGATGCCATTATATCTGAACTGGGTAAACTAATATTATTTTTAGAATTTATCAATGAAGCCACTACATGTGAACCTCCATTTTATTACTAGGTATGAACCATCACATTTAATCTGGAAGAGGGAGCAGAGATGTCCCGCATTTAAAGTTCTCACCAACACGCACAGGTAATGGTAACCCATCTTTTTTTCCTCTTTGAAAGTTACTTTACTGCTTGAATAGGACTTTTTATTTTCATAGCAACAATCTTGAGAAATAGGTTGAACTGAGAATGTTATTGGCCTGAAGTTACTTCAGTGAACTCCCTGATCAAATGCGAACTTGGGAGTTGGATCTCCCCAATCCAAATCTTCAACTATATTTGTCATGTATCAAATATTTCAGCGAAGTCTACATGAAGTGAAAAAGATCCTCCACTTTAAAGCATTATTTGGCTAGGTTTTTAAACTCTACCTGCTCTCTTTGACCTCATAACTGCAAAGAATTAACTTAAGAAAACCTCCTGGTATTGGAGTTTCTGCAATTATGCAGTAAGAGATACTAGAACAAAAGGATCAAAGATTCCCTTGGCTCTAACACTGGGAATGGCAGGAAATATCAGCATCAGAGTGAAGGATCAGGCTCTAGTAGAGAGAATCAAAAGAAGAACAATGCACTATCTATAACATAATTTGGACAAAGCAAACCAAAGGGCTGAATGCAGAACGTAAGTCATCTTACTGTTGCACGGTTGTAGACTTTCTCTTTCACAGTTTCGCAAATATTATCCAACTCTTCCTCAGTTATTTCCTCCACGGAACGGATGACATGGGGAAGAGTCATAGCACTAGTGCGCTTTCTTCTGGGTGTGTCCCTTTCATCCTGAAGAAAACAGTACCGTTGGGTTAAGCCAAGCCATTGAAGAGTTCCACAAAGCACTGCAATATTTATGTCCCTGCATTTCTTAACCAAAGTCTTGGATCACATTAAGGTGGCTTGTTGGTTTTAGCTCAGTAATTGTACAATTTCTCCTTCATTTTCAATTCTGAAGATGATTTTTTTTTTTTTGAAATACAGTAAGGGTTTTCATTTCAATCAGGACAAAGCCAGATTTCAGCCTTATGTTTTTGAAGGGCTCTAAAAAACAGATACGGCCAGGAACAGCGGCAAATCTTGCTACTGAATTGTCTTGGCAATCAAGCCAAGGTGGGCCATATATCCACGGTTCTGCACTGTGCGAAAGACAAAAAAGAGCCTATTGGCCTAGCTTAATTATGACTAGATATGGCTGTTTTATATGAAAATCTTTATCTAAATCACCTAGGCTATTTAAAGATCAATTTACTTGGTTGCCCAAAATAAATATCACCAACATACCTCAGAAAAATCGTCAGCCATTTTCCTTCTCACTAACATGTAGGGATCATCCTCATCTTCCTCCATAGACATGGAATCTGGAGGACCATCAATTAGGGATCTGGATCTTGTGTGAGGCCTAGAACTTCTTTCTGGATTCCTCCTTGGAGCACTTCTGGGAACTGATTTCCTTGGACTACGCTGGGCTTTCTTGGATGAGGATAAAGGTAACATGGCCATGTCAGACAGGTATGTAACCTTAAATTATTTATAAGCTACAGTACATTTCCTCAAATTTAGCCATTTACTCCTCTCCAAATTTAAATTACAGCAAACTTAAGTCTCAGATAAAAGTTCACAGAATGGTCGCCTGCAGCTCTAATGAATCATACCACTCAAATATAATCTGGCCCAATTAACAGAAGGGAGGTACAGTGTAAAACTGTTTTCATCTACTCAATACCCTTTTGATGCATATACTTCTATAATTCGGCCATTGTATTTATCGCTCATCTATTTACGCACTATAAAGTTAAAACTTCTTTTGTATGGCCATTCAGTGAGACCATTGAAATACTAAATGATGGTATGACTTTGCAAGAAATGAAAAATAGGATAGAATTGATGCTGCTCAGATTGTGTGCGCATGTTTTTCTTATAAGAGGTAGGTTACCTGTCAAGCATCCACCAGTACCTGGTTTAGCGTGGTTTGCTAATCATGGACTTGGTTAAGCAAGATCCAGAAGTGCATGTGTTTATTTTAAAAAGACTTTTGACGCATTAGCTTTAGGTTTAAAAACTTCCTGGTATGTCCAACTGAGCACTGAAGTTCTATAGATGGGTAAATCAAAAAATAATTACAAGTGCCAATTATTTTATATTATAGTAAGGCAATGGACTTTATTTGCTCTAAGTTGATCAATAAAGAGGCTTTAAAAAATAGAAATAATACTTGTTGGATAACTATGAAGTAAGCCAGGAAATTAATAAAGTACGCAAGTGTGATTTACCTGAGTAGGAGTTGCGAATGGTCCTCTTTTAGTAAAAATTCCAGACACACTTTTTAATTCTTCCATTAACTTTGCAAGCTGTAATGAAGAACAGGAAATAAATAGTGAAATCTCAGATTGTACATTAAGGAAACTGTATAGACATTTATTCAGAAACACAACACATACAAAGACTATTTATAGAGGTGATCAAATTACTGAAGAGGCATAAAAACCCTTTAGTGATCAAAATCTTTGGTCATCTCTATGAATACGGGGACAAGTACAGAGTAATGAACGGGTCATTATTCTTGATCCATTGGACCTACTTTTCCAATTGTTTTGGAATTTTTCACAATACTCTAGACCTTATTCAAATGGCAAAGATGGACAAAATTGAAGGAATGAGATTAAAAATGCCTGCATAATTATAATTTTGAATACTGTTTAAACTGCCTGAGGTTGATAATCAATTAAGTAGCATTAAAATAATTAATGAAGCAGCATCAAGAAGTTGAATGTGTTTTTATAATGAAACCCAAGCCACAAAACTAATTCACCATTCAGAAAAAAAAACAGATTCTTGAGGACTTTCTTTTATGTTTACCATGGCTTTGTTCTCCTTTATATTTAAAGCTCTTCTCTCCAAGAATTTGGGTCCACTTTCTTCATCAGATTCTGCCTCAGTGTCCAATTTACAGGAAGGTTGTGAAGCTGGATCTGTTTTACTCTTTCCCCTCTTAGACCTTCGGGGTGGGAACTTCAGAGCAACTTTAAGGGGACCAGCACTTTTCTTAGGCCATTTTCGTGAACATTTCTCTGCTTCTTCTTCTTCGGAATCTGTCCCCAGTTTCTATTATACATTCAAATTAAAAAAAAAAAAAAACCATAGTAAGCCACTTGTATAGTTAGACTGACAATCCCAACATTTCATGGACCCTACTACCAGATCAAAGAGTGAAAAACCTGTGGCTAACTTAACACTCTTAAACTACTCTTTATCACTGTCCTTGCTAACCAGAACTGTTGAAAGCTGTAGCTTAACAACATCTAGGGTTACAGGTTCTGTATCAGTAATTTAGAGCCACCATCAGAGCACAGATATTATAAATTTTCCTAATTAAATCACTTCCTCTTACTTTTACATTCAGTTGTTGACCTTTGCTCTTGACTTGGAAGAATTAAGAAAAAAAATCACACTGAAAGATACTGCTGTAATGTCAGATTATATGCTGTTCCCCTGCTGCAGGCCCTATTGGAACACTTAACCACCTGCACATAAAACAGCACTATTTTTCTAAAACAATACAGAAAGGAGTTTCCCGCTTTATATGGGGCTAAATACATCAAGCAGAAGCTTCTTAGAAGGTCTACCAAGTTGCCAAGCCCCACTCTTCAAAGCTTTGACATGCCCAAGAAGATCATTAGGAAGTGTCTTCACAGTTCTACTAAATATAGTGTCTAAAAAGATGGAGAAGGGAAAGCTTATAAACACTGAAAAGGGGAGAAACAAGGGGTAAAATGACACCTGAAGGACACCAAGTAGACCAAAGAATACTTATAGCAACGGTTCACATCTGGCCCCAGTCACTGAAGGACATTTAAGTACCTGCCTGCCTTTCAGCTTTTCAAATCAGAAGTTATTATTCCAGGCATAGATCCTGGGAAGGACAGAGTGAGGGTAAGTTAATCTTAGAAGACTTTTTCTTTATAGGTATTTTTAGCAGACATTAGAAACTGGGCCTTCTTCATCCTTCCTTCTCACTTTTCCAGCTTTCTTCTGTTAAAAGCCAGCAAGTCACCTCACTGCTCACATTTGGAGAGCTTATTAAAATATATGTTTTCCCTAAGGTAATAATTACTTCAGAAAATATATGCTATTCATGATGTTAAATGATGTCTACCAGTTCATTTTTAATGAGCTTTCTTTTGCAGCTTTGTTGTGCATAGCACTTTTTCAATGAAGATATAGCTGATAAGTTTACATTATTGGAACCAGCATAAACATGGGCAAAAGAGTTACTTCATCGCTGTCAAGAATATTATCCCTTTAGATCACAAAATTTACCACAATATGGAAAAGAAGCTCTAATTTTACATAAGAAGACTAAGATTCAATCCTCACGTGCAAGAAGGCTGATAATTTTCAGTTCCCTTGCTGGCCTCTTTCTCAGACTATGAAAGTTGAAGGAATTTGGTCTATTTCGGTGTGCAAAATAAGGACAATAGTAATTAGAAAGTTTAAATGTCTCAACTCACCAGCCCATCTTGAATCTCACTTTCTGAAAAGCCACAGAAAGATTCTTCATCTGAATCCTCGTAAAATATTTTAGCCATTTTTTCTGCAACTTCTGGCTTGAATGTTGGTTTCTTAAAGAGAATAAGTACACTATGTGTTTCTTTCTGTATTTTTTTCTCTCTCTCGCTTTTTTTTAAAAATGAGAAGCTATTTTCCATAAACTGTTCTGAGAGCAAATCACATTGTACAAGTGCACTACAAGAGAATAGCTTTTGTAACAAAGAAAAATGGTTCAGGAGGTTTACAAATGGTTTCAGAGCTTTTATAGCAAATCATCAGGCATGTTAGGTTAGGCGACATTTCAAAAGGATAGAGTAAGTGGCTAATCTACCTCCAACAATTACTACCTAGGAGCACAAGGAAAGAAGTGAAATGAAATTAGAGTTCATACTGTATATTCATATAACTGCTGTACAGAAATGTAAGCAAAGCATTTTAATCACAAATGGGGTATTTCTGAACACCACACATTCAATTTCTGTTTATTCCTGCACTTTTTACTTACCGTGTTTGCAAAATTATCAGAGCCAAAACTGTCACAGCTATCATCAGAGGATGAAGACGTTTCCATAGGGATTAGCCTAGTATTACGGAATGCTGTGGATTTTCTCTTCCCTGAAAGGTTGCCCTGTAAAATGGACAATGACAACTCAATTAATTACTATAATGTGTTTTATGTAGCCTGGATTAGTAAAATTAAACTAATCTAGTTTAGCTACAGACTAGACTGAAGTACACATTAATTTGTAAAAAAGGAGACTTTTTTGTGCCACTATGGTAAAACATGCAAAATCAGCAGGAGAAAATTTTACTAATGACATGTATTTTGGAAGCAATACAACTCTCCAGACATATACTGCACTTTTATGGGACTTAAACCCATCTACAAAATATAGTAAGGGTATAGTTGAAGTTGAAATTGAATTAAAATGTAACATTCTTTTATACTATCAGCTTACAATTAAGATAGCATAACAAAATTGTTAGCCTTATTTTCGCCATGGGCAACTCATATGATAGTTTCAGTAAAGGGCAGCCATTTATCAGCTCAACCATTCTTGTTGGTACATTACCACAAGCATAAATAATTCAGATTTAGCCATGATCTCCCAAAAGCAAGATCCAGTTTGGGATTCCATAATTGTATATCTAACTTGATTCTTGTCTTTAGGATGGCAACCTAAAGGTTTATCAGTCAGAAGTAAAATGTGATTATTAAGATGAAATAAAAGATGCCCCACTGTGTAGGCTACAGATGTCAAAATCTTTGTGCAAAATAATCATATAAATTTTCCACTCCAAATATTTTTTCACCATATAAAACCATTTTATCACTCTATTCCAACTGTAAGTATATAGATTTATCCTCCCCAAGAAGCAGTAAGTCCCAGTGGATCTCGCTTCTGAAAAAATATGTACTGTAAAGGACAAATAAAAGTTAATTGGATGTCTGGATTAGATAGCTGTTAAAAATGAAAAGGCTTTATAAATGCAGAACTGTTTTCTAAAATGGAGGGTCTTTTTAATCAATAAATGTTATAGATATTGTACTGAGTCACTAGGACTTAAGAGTCAATATACTAATATTGGAAAACAGGAGAAAAATATGGTGGGAAAGGAATCACTCAGCTAAAAAAATGGGGAACTGTCAAATTACTAGGATTGGCAGAATCCACAACACACTTTTAAGGTAACAATAATGCCAAAAAGATAATGTGGCAACTAAATTATGGTATCATCCTGTCACCATAATCACACCTCCCAGAAAGTGTCTCATTCTCTGAGGCCTGTGAATAAGTAAACTGTGAATAAGACAATTAGGTACAGGGTAACCAGATTTAAAAAGTCCCAATGTCTCACATTAAGACAACAGAGTGCCAATAAATCA